AAAAAAAAAAGCATTGTTGGAACAATAACGCTAAATTGTTACTTGCAATTATTGCAAAAAAGTTTTGGTAATCATAAAATTAATTAAAAAACGTCATTGTTGAGACTCCATTTTATATTTGTATAACAAATATTCTTAGACAAATTATCCTAAAAATACTAATTTAACAAATTTATTTAATAATAAGCTATTTTTATCTTAGACTTATTAACTTTAACATGTCTAATTTATTCGAAACTTTTAAAACAACTATTCATCATATTATGTTTACATAATTATTGCATCAATTTTTCGTCAGAAATATTCGAAATTTATTTGGATTAGCAATTAATTAATTTAATGCATTTATTAATTATTGAAAGTGAAAATGTTTGTTTTCCTTTTTTGAATAACTAAACACAATCAAACAATATTTAGCAAAAATTAAGCAATAATGTATTTGTGAAAAGTGGAATTTTTAAAGCTGTTTAACTATTTCTAATTTATGTGCTAAAAATAAATGTAATAATTAATTTTTAATAAAATATTTTTGAAAGATTTGTTAGCTGCCAGTTATCTTTGCAAATATGAAAAATTACAAATTGCTAATATTTCAAACTATTTCATACTTTTTCTTCTCCTAACATTTTATTTTGCTTTTACTAAATGTCAAACTGAATGACTTACAAAGTATATGAATAAAATTTTCATTTAATTTTTCCCTTCTTTATCTCTTTTTCTTTCCTTCTTTTCTCTCTCTCTCTCTTTCTCTTCCTTTCTCAAATTTTGCTATTGATCTTTGGTTATTCACATTCAACAAAATTTGTGCTACAAATAACACTAAATCTTTTTGTTATTATTAACAACTTTGTTTTTTTTTTCCTTTTTTTTTTTGCCAAAAATTTGATTTATGAACTTTTATTTTCAAACGATGCACAATTATTAATGGTATTATTAATTTAGAAAACTAACACATTTACATTTCTTATTAAATCGCATTGAAATGAAATAATAATGTAAGAGAATAAGAAAAAAGACAAAAGAAAGGGAATATATTATCAATATATAGTTGATAAAATAGACAATAATAATAATAATAAAATAATAATAGTAATTAATAGTAATTAGCTAATAAATTAAATCATAGCTAAAAAGGAAAAACAAATAGTGTAAATAAGCATAAATGATAGGACAATAATATTGTATGATAAATTGTTTTATTTTTTGGTAAATTATTAATCCTATTGTTATGCTATTAAATTATAAAAAAATAGATTTAAAATAATCGTTTAAAAATTTATTTAATTACAATTAATTTATGTTATTAGCACTGTTATGCAAATAGATATGAAATGAGTTTAATCAATAATTTATAATTAACATAAATTTTAAAACTTTTGATAGATATTTCTAGTTGCTGTAGAATATTTTCCATTTAAAAAAATTTCAAAACATTCATTTATTTAGGAAATTTTTACGAAATTTGAATTTTTTTAATGGATTTTTTTTTCTTTGTTATGCAAAGTAATTATGATAGCACAATATATTAATAATGAGACAATGCCTAATTAATACACTGATAGAAAATTATTTTGTTTTGTTTGTTAAAATTATTTTTGTTTTTTTCGACAAAATTTTGTTTGTTAAAAAATTATTTGTTTATATATTTTTTGTTTTTTGTTTTTTTATTATCTTTCTAATAATGTTTAAAAAAACTAGAAAATTCCTGAAAATATTATTTCTTACATTATTTTAATCTAATTTGTATCAATAATTTGCAGATTTTTTTTTTTTTTTGTTACAAAACATAATAAAATTTTATTAATAATAAACTTGGGATGTTATTTTGATTTGTTTTATAGAAATATTTCTAATATATAAAAATAAATTTCATTTCCTCACTTGTAAAATGTGTATTATATTAATTAATAACTTATTTAAAAAAAAAAAAAATTTTGGATTAAATTCAATTTTAATTTGTTTATTGATTTAGGCATTCATTTTCATAAAACATTCATAATTCTAAAATTTGAATCTGACATGTTTAGATAAGTATCAAAATGTATTTAAATAAAAGAACGTAATGGTACGTAAATTTATGGTTCTAAAATTAAAATAATTTGCCTTCAAATTGTCCATTTATGCATTTAATAATTTTATTTCTTTATGAAATAAATAATATTGTTACTCAAATATTGAATTTATAATTATTTCTGTTTTCTTTTTTTTTCCTTAATTTATCAACAATATTTATGAGTTTTGAAATTCGTAATTTTTTGAATTTTTTTCATTCTTCTTCCATTTTCAACCATCGTCTTTATCTTTCAATTTATTTGATGACTTTTTTTTTTCTCTTTTTTTTGTTTACTAAATTTAGATTTGTTACAGAATATTATAATAAAATTATTACCATTTAATGCAGTCATTAAATAAAATTTTCAAACAAAAATTGACAAAATTTTTTCATGCAATTTTACAAAAACTTTATCGAAAATAAAAATTTTAGACTATTTCTCAAACAAATAAAAAGGAAAAAAAAAAGTGATTTGAAATGAACTTACAATATTATTGCCCAAAAATTTTCAGCAATCGTTCGTATGTTATTAACCATTACACTCTTAAAATAACTTTTAATATTTCATTTATTCGTGCTATATGACTTACCAACGAGACGAATAGTTGAATAGACGAATAGTTGAACAGAATGAATAGATGGATAGTTGAATAGATAAGAATTTAAATAGATTTTGTTCTTCATTTGCATATTCTCTTGAGTTTTCCATAGATTGATTTCTATTTCTCGGTTATGTTACCACTTTATCTTTTCAAATTTCATTAAACAGCATGTGATGCATCCTCGTCAACTAATATTATTTCATCATAAAACTTGTTGTTAATGTTTTGTTTGTTTATTTGTCTATTTCCTTATTTCATTTATTTATTTATTTGTTTATTTGTTTGTTTAATTTATTTTGATTTTTCTTTCCTACCTTTTTTTTTCCTCTCATTTCCTATTTTCTTTATTTCCACAGCTTATTTTGAATATTTTTTCTGAATAATTCGATTATATGTGCAGCGGTAATTACCTCAATTTTTTTCTCTTTGTTTTTTTCTTTTTTTATTTTTAAATTTAAAACAATTAGGTTCTTATCTTTCGAGCAAATAGTATTTAACCATTATTCTTACTTATTTAAAGAATCGAAATTGAAAAAAAAAGAAAGAAAGGAACATTGTTAACAAGAAATAAATTTCATTTATTTTGCAAAACAAATGAAATTTACTCAAATTGATATATTTGAGCAAATACGAATTTTTAGAAAAATTTATGTGAAATAGAGTTAAATGTTTTATAATTGTAATTTTTTTTGAAATCATTACTTATAGCTTCATTTTAATTTGATTAGATAATTTTTAAAATAGCACATACATATATCATTATTCATTGTTTATCTATACTTCAAACAATTTAATGTTTTAATTAAAAAATTAAATTTAAGTTTGGATGATTTGGGATTTGAAAAAAATAAAATGAAAAAAGTTGAAGTTGTATAATTATAAAACAAATAATTGAGCATTTTTCGAACTATGCTTACCTTTGTAGTAGCGCAGGTGATTAAGTCAACTTATTTGTTATTTTATTTCACATTTAATTTTCTGCTAACTTTAGTTTGTATTTAAACTTCTTAAAAATTTAATTAATAATTATTTATTTCATCTTGCTAACTCATTAATTCATTTTAACTTTCTCGCTTTTTACTACCATCAAGTAAGTTAGTTTAAATTTCAGTAATTTAAGGAAAAACGAAACTGATAATTTGAAAGAAAAAAAAAAAGATTATGATTTTTGCAAAATATAATCAACAATTGTTATAATCATAATTATTTTTTTACTCACTTTTTTATTACGATAAATTGATATAACAGCGAATTTTATGATGATGTAATATAAAAAAGAAAATAATGTTTAATGTAATTGAAATTCAAAGTTGTTAGACAAAAGATTATTTTACATTTTGAATATAATTTACTATTTTATCACACCTTTTAATATTTCCTTTGTCATTCCATATCTTGAAATCTTTTTAATTATATTAAAATTAAATCAAAAAATTTAAATGGTATATCAGAAATGTTTAGGGAATCAACACTTCAAAAACAAATTCCAAATTTACATTTATCATGATCATTAGGTATGGTTTGCTAAAAAAAAAAAAAACTTGGAAAAACTAATATAAAAATTTTTTCTTAGAAAAATTTAGTTAGCATTTTTTTTTTCAAACTTTCAACAATTTTTCTCTTTAGAAATTGTTTCTTTGTATTTTATAAGCTAATTGTTTACCTCGTTTATTAATTATTTTATTTTATTTTTTTTAAATTTTTTTCTCTTTTTGTTTATTTTTTGAATGCAAGAAATGATGACAATAGTGGGCTAATTGCATGAAGACAATCATCGCAGTATATTATTGAAATTACTAATACATGTCGTGCATATCAATGCTATAAAGGTTTGTTTATTTGATAATTTTCCAATCTTAATCATTGATATGATAAAAAATATTATCAAAGAATCGAAAATTACCAAACAAAAGAATTAATCAATTGTGTGGGTAAAAGGAAATTTATAAATTATTATTATTATTATATTATTATGAAATATAAGAATTTAATTATCTTAATGTTTTTAAATTATGCACTTAATTCTAGTAACGAATACTATAAATTTAGAATTTTACTTTAAATTATTTTTCCCTCAAAAATAACACTCCAAATTCTTATTTCTTTTTCTTCGAGGCATAAAATCAAAGTTAAAAAATAAAATAGTTAAATTCACTTTATTTTTAACTTCTATTGTGATATTATTAACATATAAACTATTCATATTATTTACAAACAATGCTTAAAAATTTTTAGTCTTAACTAAATTCCTTAATTTCTATTCCTATTTCTATTAATAAGAAATATGAATCTTTTAACTCATTCATATTTTATTGATCATTTGTTTGTTTCTTTCTTTCTTAAAGATGAGTCATCATGGATGGGTAATGGTATCATTTCTTACGGAACTTTTAAGTTCATATGGTACCAATGGACAATCATCATCAATATGCGCTGATGATACAAAAATTATTGATAGCATTTTAAAGGTTAATTTTTTAACAACAACAAAAAAAAAAAGAGAGAAATTTCACTGTTACATATAAATAATTCATTTAATTAACAATTTAATTAATTAAAGGCTAATATAACAAATTTTTATTTGTTAATTATATCTGTAAGAGTATTATAAATTATATTATTATTATTAAAGTTTTGGAAAAAATTTTTATTTTATCCTATTTTTACATTCTTTCCTTTTTTTTTTTCCTCTTTTTTTAACTTTTATCTTTTATTATGCTAATAAAAATTTAGGAAACATATAATAAGCATTATCTACCAGCACATCCGGTTTATGTTCGTGTTGACATGTGGGTGCAAGAGGTTACAGCTGTTTCGGAATTAACTCAGGATTTCGAAATTGGTACTATTTTAGTTTCTCTTTTTTTTTTTTTTCTTTTTAATTCATATAAGTATGAGATAAATAAAATTAAAAAAAACGTTAGTTTTTATTATTATTTTTTTTTAAAAAAAAACAATCATTAATTATTTTTATCAGCGTGAAGAAAAAAAATCACAGAGAAAAAGTAATATTTAATTACCTTTATAGACTTATATATAAACGAATTTTGGGAAGATCCAGCACTTATATTTGATTTTATGGATCCATGTAAATCAAATATTTCATTTGATGAAAAGGTATTGCAAAAACTTTGGATTCCAAATACATGCTTTATTAATTCAAAAAATGCTGCAATACATGAGTCACCATTCAGGTTAGTTAATATTTCAATTATAATTATTTAATTTGTTAAATGTTTTCTTTTAGTTCCATTTTTTTTTTTCTTAGAAAATATTACTTTTTCTTTTTCAATTTTGCAATGGTAAATGAATTTTGGAAGAGTGCAATTTTTAACATTTTAAGATTAAATTTTGAAATAACAGTGATTGTTTGATTTATTGTTTAAATAAAATTTAGAATATTGCAAATTGTTTGTTAATTTAGTGAGCTGTTACGTTTTTTTGAACTTTTTTCCTCAAAATTATTTAATTTGTAATATAAAATTATTTATTTAGAAATGTTTTTCTAATGGTTTTTGCCAATGGTACATTGTGGACCAATTATCGAATGAAATTAACTGGCCCATGTGATATGAATTTAAAACGATTCCCATTCGATCAACAAAAATGCTTTCTTACTTTTGAATCGTAATGCTTAAAAATTATTTCAATTTTTTCTTTTTTTCTCGTTTTTGTTTTACAATAAATAAGACTTTGTCAAAATACTTCAACAAAAAGTTGTATTTATCAATTTCTAAAGTTTTTAAATAATACTCCAAAAAAAAAAAAGGGAAAATTTATTCATATTTGAAAAATTCATATCATCCATTTATGAAATAAAATATTATTTTAAAACATAACGATGATATCATGATAATATATTTTTATAAACATATATATAGTTTTTTTTTGAAAAAAATATTTTAGATTTAACTATAATACTGGTGAAGTACGTATGTCCTGGAATCAGCCTTATCCGGTAATGCTGCTCAAAAAAATTGAACTTCCCGATTTCAAATTAACAAATTTTAGTGTTATTGCAGTGGAACAGGTATCATTCATTTATGATATAAAAATTTTTTTTTTAAAACATAAATCTTATATCATGATAATTAGATTGATTTTTTTTGTACAAATTCTGTTAAAACTATCATAAAAATTTCTGTTAAAAAAAAAGAAAATCAAAGTCAAATTTGTAAACTTTTTAAGAATTGCATAAAATTTGCAAACAAAAAAAAAAGAAAAAAATATTACAGATGTATCCGGCAGGTTGGTGGGATGAATTAACTGTTGCATTTGTTTTCAAACGACGATATGGTTGGTACATCCTTCAAGGATACATCCCAACTTATGTCACCATTTTCATTTCATGGATTTCATTTTATCTTGGATCGAGGTTCATGTATATCTTTTAGTTATATTTCGTGGTATTTATTTCATATCAATACAGTTGACATTAATATTTCATTTTTTTAATACAAAATTAGTAGTAAGAATATCTTCTTTTTTTTTTTGTTCATCATTATATTATTTATTCTTTTGATGTATTCCGAAAAATGCAACAGATTTAATTTTCCAAATAAATGAAAAGAAAAAAAAAATTATTTTTTTTTTAGAGCAATTCCAGCACGCACAATGTTAGGAGTGAATTCTTTATTAGCTATGACATTTCAATTTGGTAATATCATCCGAAATTTGCCTCGAGTTTCATATGTTAAAGCAATTGATGTTTGGATGCTAAGGTTTTCCTTTTTTTGTAAAAGAATTTTAAATTGTAAAAGAGAGCAAAATTTTATATGTGAGATAATAAATTTAGATTTCATTTTCAAATTTTAATTAATTTTCAGTGGTATGATGTTTATTTTTCTATCACTGCTAGAATTAGCAGTGATTGGTTTTATGTCACGAAATGAAGCAGCGCCAAAACAATTGAAAAAACGAAGTGTTATTTCTAATGATTTAGCATGGAATGAAATGCCTAGTCCTAGGATAGGTTTACGTCAAGTTAGTCAATTATTAATTAAATATATTTTACTAGCTTACTAATTAATTCTTGAAAAAAAAAAAGAACAAAAAACAAGAAAAAACGATTTCTTTTTTTGTACAAAAATTTATATTTTATTTGATGTAATCAATATTTAACTTATTTTTATAAAAAAAAAAAATTTTTTTTCTTTACAGTATTGGGTTGATCAACGATCTACAGCTTCATTCATGGATGATAATGAAGTGATTTATCACATTTACATTTTATTTATTTCATTTAAATATGTAATTAAAAAGATATTTGAAATTTTACATGAAATTAATTTAATTATAATAATTTTATTATTTATTTATAGCTAACAAGGCGAGCATTACCGATCAATTCACATTTATCAGCTAATCCATCCAATGTTGAAATATCACCTGTGCAAAAGAAATCATCAAATAAGTAATATTTTACTTAACAAATTAGATTTTTATTTAGTCAAAAAAAAAATTCCTAAAATGATTCATAAAGAGAAAAATAAATGAACAAATGTAGAAAATTACTTTTTCTTTTCATTTCTGAAAAATTGAAAAATGAGAAAAGTCTTTTTTTTTTTGGATAATACAACATTTGAAAGTTTTAATTATTAGTTTATTTTGCATTTTCTTTCTTCCCTTTCTTTCTTCCTTTCTTTTTCTTTTTTTTTTTTGCTTCACTAACAAGTAAAAAAAAATTTATGTTTCTAAAAGAAAAATAAAGAAGCATTAATATTATGAAAATTCTTTCTTTTTTTTTGATTTTTTCTATTGTTATTCTAGTGGTCACCTTTATCTATCGCTTAAAGAATGACCATTAGAATGACCATAAGAATAAAAGAACAAAATGGACTATAAAATTTGTAAATATGATGTCAAAGTTTGGTATGCAAGGAATGAATAGTGATTTTGAATAAGATCAAATGATCATTTTCAACAAATCATGATATCAATTTAAAAGGTTATAAAGTGATTATTTTCAGAAAATCAATTTAAAAAAATTACAAAATGATTTTTAGAAAATCGTGGCATCAATTTAAGAGTTTACAAAATGATCATTTTCAGGAAATCCTGGTATCGATTTAGGAGATTGCGAAGAATGTTTCATTCATTAGAACCTGAAGTTGTTGATAAATACAGGTAACTTTTTTTTTTACCTATCTTTTTCTGTCGTCATTTTTTAATTATAATATATGGTAAGAAAAAAGAACCATCGATAACTTCTAAATATTTATTGCCAATTGTCATTTCTTTTTTTTTTTTTTTTTTTCACTTTAAATTTATTTCTAATACAAATTCTCTTTTTCTTTTCTTTTTTCAGCGCAATACTTTTTCCTACTGCATATTTCGTATTTAACATCGGGTAAATTCATTTATTTTACTAACATCAAAAAAATTGTTTGAATTATTTATGTTGTATTGATCTGTTATGAATGAATTGATCAAAATTATAGATCAAGTATTGATCTTTTCAAACATTATAATGATGATAATATTATCGATTTATTAATTGCTTATATTTCATTAACTATAACTACAGTAAAATATTTTAAACAATTCATTAATGATCAATCAGAAGACAGAAATTACTTAACTTTAATTAATTTAGAAGATTTCGTAATTTATTTAATTCATAAAAGGAACAAAGTAAGTAACTAGAAATAAAATTTATAAAATGTTTGAAATGAAATAAATTTATTGAATAACTAATTTAATAAATTTTGAATAGATTTTTCTTTTTTTAAAATTTCAAACAGCGTCTCTTAATGAAATATTTAAATAGTAATAATTAGTTTAATTTTCTCTCATTTATAGTTACTGGAGTTACTATCTTACAAATCTTTCATCAGCCGAAGAACAAACAGTGAGTTAAATGAATAATTTTATTATCATTTGTGTTCATGATATCATTGCCTTATAATAATTTGAAATTTATTAAATAATTTTTTTCTTTATTTTTGTAGTTGAAATCAAATAAAATAATTTTAAACAATTGTATGTCACAGTAATACATTATCAACAATTGAATTATTCCACATAACTCAATCATTAAAAAAGCATACAGTAATGGTTAGTGTATGATTTGGCATAGTATAATGATAAATAAATTATATTTCAATTAAGCATAAATAAAACAAAATTCATAAAAACTAAAAATTATTATGTAAATAAGCAATAAGCTAACAATGGGTTAACAGGAATGATAACAATAACTACATACACTGCTTTTTCCTCTTATTATTATTATAAATTATTATTTCATAATTCTATTAGGGTTTTTGTTTTTCGTTTTTCAAAAATCAGTTATAATCATTAAATAAAATAGCAACCAAAGATTAATACCAATAGTATAACTAATAGCCAAACAATATTAGCTATGCATTTTGGTAAACATTTTCAAATTAAAAAGTGCTAATATTTCATCTTAAATGAAAAGCTAACAATGCAAAGTAACGGTAAAAATTTAAAGAAAGAATTTTCAAATGAAATTTTGAATAAATAAGTTGAATAAATGCAATGGTGTAAACAAGTACAGATATAATAATTATGGTTGATGAAGTAGAAATTTTAATCAATAATACCTAATACATCATTAATTAATATATATTTTATTTGATTTCAAATGCATTTCAGCATTACCCATCCTTTTATTTATGCAATTAAAAATTAATTTTATGTTTTGTATTCCAATTTTCCTTATGTCACTTGTCGAGAACAAGCTCGAAATTCCACTAGAAATAATCTTTGTACCGAACAATCGAATTTAGCAAAAGGTCAAATTTAAATCAATGTATTTATATTTAAGCAAATCATGTTAATCATTTATTGTAAGTTTTATTGTAATTCAAATTCCTTAATGACTCATAGATGGTAATGTGTTAACAAATTCCCATGCTAATCTGTCATATTATCTAATGCACATCTGTTCCAATCCTTATTTGTTATCTAATTCCGTTTACAAAAACTATCTTTCCCATAGCCTTCTTGCTAGCTTCCATTTTATCAATCGCTTTATCTCTCCACCCTCAAATCATCCTATATAAGGGCAATTACCACTCAACCGGGGGCAGTCTTCCCAGTCTCCCCGTTGCTTAGCTCATCCTCCTCACTAAATTGTCCTACTACTGATTGCTTGTTTGGTTTAATTACCCAAGATTGAGCACTCGACTCAATTGTGCAAGTAAACCAACCCAATCCAAACCATTCACAACAAATTTATGGTGCCACGAGGACATTTCTTACGATACTGTAATTCTCCGGAGTTATGTCATAACCTCTGATAGCTTGGAGGGCATCTCCTTTGAGACATGTGATGAGATAGTTTAGTTTATGGATATCGGGAATTGCTTGTTGATGTATAGCTGTATCAAAGCTATTCCAAAATTCCCTCCAGCGTCTTGGATTCCCACTGAATGTGGGCAGTGGTAGTTGTGGGAGATTTACTGTAGGGTATTTACCCGCTTGTGTGGGTTCCTTGGGTTGAGTTGTTTCCTCCCTTACCATAGGCTGATTTAGCCGTTGTAATATGAACTCCGAATCATTTTGATACATTTTTAAAATGACTACAGTTTGTTTTGCTTGTAAAATTAAGTTGGTAATACCTGATTCATCGTCGTTTATCTGAAGGTATCCATCTTCTTCTTCTTTTCTTTTTGTTGAGACCGAAATCTGCTGGATGAATTGTTTCCACTCTGTATTGACCGATTCCAACGCCCCTATGTATATTTGGATATGCATGATTTTTTCTTGGGTGATCCTTCTCCGTTCCTGATGAAGACGGATTGTTTCGTCGGTTGTTGTCATTTGGTCGACCGAATCCAAGTTCAGACGCTTGATTTCGTTGAGGACTTCACACAATCTTCGTTTTGTTTGGTCTGCGGTTCTGATGATGATGGATGACATGTTCCCGGCTCGTGGCACCATAAATTTGTTGTGATTGTATTGGATTGGGTTGGTTTACTTGCACACGAAAGCTCAATCTTGGGTAATTAAACCAAACAAGCAATCAGTAGTAGGACAATTTAGTGAGGAGGATGAGCTAAGCAACGGGGAGACTGGGAAGACTGCCTGCGGTGGAGTGGTAATTGCCCTTATATAGGATGATTTGAGGGTGGAGAGATAAAGCGATTGATAAAATGGAAGGCTATGGGAAAGATAGTTTTTGTAAACGGAATTAGATAACAAACAAAGGATTGGAACAGATGTGCATTAGATAATATGACAGATTAGCATGGGAATTTGTTAACACATTACCATCTATGAGTCATTAAGGAATTTGAATTACAATAAAACTTACAATAAATGATTAACATGATTTGCTTAAATATAAATACATTGATTTAAATTTGACCTTTTGCTAAATTCGATTGTTCGGTACAAAGATTATTTCTAGTGGAATTTCGAGCTTGTTCTCGACATCACTTACTGCAGTCTTTTCATTTACTCTATTTTAATGCAGTATATGATGAAAATTTTTAAAGAATTATAGTTTTACAAATTAGAATTAACAAACATTTACGTTTTGATTTAAAAAAAAGAAAGATGCGTTAATTTATTCATCAAAAATTAATTAAATTGCTAAACATATAATATGGCAAAGAAAGAATAAAAATTTAAACTCGAGTTATGAATTAGTCTGATTTCAAATTTCTAAAATATTTCGCATTTCAATAGTGCCAAATGCACAAACTGAATAAAATTCGTTAATATGATTCATTTTTCATACAACATAAAATTAAGTTTTATTTAAAGTTATTACTCCATTGAATGCTTAAAATTGTTTATGCTTCACTAGATAAAGCTTATTGATGGTAAAAATAAAAAATTTGCAATCAATTAAATTTGGATGTATCAACAAATTATGCAAAAAAATTTGCAAGCATAAATAAATAGGTGTAATTAAAAGTTGTATAATTTTAATAATTTTACTAAGATAATATATAAATATGTGTAAAAATGATTAAATCAAAATTAATATTTAAAATTAAGTATCATATTCATTATAAAATTTCCCGTTTTTTTTCTTCTTTTTTCTTTCATATCTTTTTCATATTTTTGATATTTCTGCAATTTATTTCCGGAATGAATTACTCCGACCGTATTGTCTACTTACTATTTTCTTTTCTCTCTTTATACTCGTTTCTACTTTTCATTATTTTAATATAGAAATTATAAGTGGCATACAATTTTATTAAAATTTATCAAATTTCAGTGGTAACAATATCCGTTAAAAAAAAAAAAAAAAAAACAATATCTTCAACTATAATTTGAGTAAGTAACAAAAATTCGTTGTTGACAATAGCTTACCCTTAAGCTAATAATTTGGTAGATATTAAATAATTACAAGTTTTTGATGCTGTTTCATTCGCTATAGTCTTTTTTAAGTTTTTAAAAATTAATTATCGGAATGTATTGTAAACTTTTTTCTAATTCTTTTTTCTAATGCCAATTTATTATCGCACGTTTGTCATTCATTTTTCCTAAAAAAGTAAATAATTTACTCACATAATTTCTAAATAAATTGAAAATTTTGAAAAATAATTGAGGAAATAGTTCGAAAATTGAATTAAAATTACTGAAATAAAGTATTGGATAAGCATTGGTTTCTCTTCGTCATTGCATTTTTTTTTTTAGCATCCCAAAACTATGTAAAATATTGTCATTACTTGCTAATTTGAATTATGAAAACTTTAAAAAGATAATTGGGAAAATATTGACTAAGAAATTTAACAAATAATGTTGAATTTTATAAGAAAAAAAAAGAACACGAGAGATGATTAGTATTAAATTTAAGCTTTGTTTATAAACGGATTATTTTAATGAATGTAAAATGTACTATTTCAGTATTTTTCAACTTCTATTTGCTATTATCCTTCTACTACAATTTCATTATAATTCATTAGCATATTTTAATGATTATAATTAAAGTAAAAAGTAATCAAAAATATTTCTCATTGCTATGTAAACGAAAATTTAGGAAAAAAAAAGTATATTAAGTGTAATTACAGTGAATTTGTTGTTATCATTTGTATAATGATAAACGCATAATTCAGCTTTATTAATTTAATACCAGTAAAAAAAGAAAAAAAAAAAAAAGGAAATAGATTTACAATCAAATTTTTTAAAAAATCACTGAATGAGTTACAAAACACTTTTTTTTTAAAAAAAATTGGGCACTATCATGATACAATTATTCAGTATCATATCACAGAATATTAAGAAAAAAAAAAAGGATGAGAAGAAAATGTTTAAGTTTTTAAAAGGTTAACTGAAATAAATTCAAATGTTTTAAGGAATTTTTAAGGAGTTTTAGGTGGTGGAAAAAAAGGAAAGAAAATTTTTCTTACAAACAAATTGCAGAAAAAAAAAAAAAAAATTCAATGAACAAAAAATTTTTGGCTTCTATAAAAATTTGTAAATAGAAATAAAAAAAAATATTATTAAAAAATTGTGATAGCTGAATTTTCAACTTTTTTTTATAATGAAAAAAAAAAAAATGGTCAAAATTCTTGGTAGAGAAAAGGAAAAAAGAAAAATATTTAATTTTTGCCATGGCTGTAGAAGTAGAGGTGATAAATGATAAAAATTTTAATACATAATTAGATTTTTCAGTATATGTGAGGATCTTCATGCCAATGACGTAACATTCGATCATTTGTGCCAGTCGTATAATTATATCGATTATAATTACTACCAGTTGATCCAGGTGTTGTTAAAGCAGCTGAAATAAACTTTAATCAATTGCAGATCTCTCTCCCTCCCTCTCTCTCTCTCTCTCTCTCTCACACACACAAACACATATCAATGATTATAATTAATATGAAGTAATTAGCATTAAAATTAGATTTTCAAATTGAAATATTCAATTTAAAAATGAAAAGTTTGTTTATTTTTATAAAATTTGAAATGAAATTTTTTTACCCGTATATTTCCTATATTGTGATGAAAATGGATCACGCGTAATAAGCGTAGGTGCAAGATGAGATGATGGATATACACCATAAACTTTATCCGTAAAACCATACCTGAAATAATTTTTGCATAATAAAATTATAATTTAATTTTTCAAATTTTTACACATAAACAAACACACAAAAAAAAAAAGAAAGAAATGATCGATTAAAAATTTTCAACTAAATTAATTGTTTTAATTGTTTATATTATTATACCTTGCTGAAGTTGTTGTTGTTGTTGGAAAATTAGCATAATCAAGATGTGCATGTTGAGAGGGTGATGGAATTACACTTTCCTTACTTTTTCGAAAAAGTGATTTAATCTTATCAATGGGTGATGATGGTCTCTTAAAATCTGTTTCCAATCTAAAATGTCATTTATTAATTTGAAAAAAGCAAACAACAAAAAAAAAAAAGAAGAAAATTTTTGAACATATTTAAATATAATGAATATTTATTACTAATTCATCAACTATCATTTTATTTCAAGAATAAATTTCAATTATATTTTTAAAATACAAATATGTATGACTAACCCTGCAACTGTAATTTTACCATCTGGCCCAAGGCGCATTTCTGTTGTTCGTCGTCTTCCAAGTGCCAAAAAAAGTGAACGTTTCTTAGCAGCTTTTGATTGCTCATCCTTTGAAATTTTACCTAAAATATTGTTTTTTAATTTAATTATAAAAAAAATAATTGTAAAATGTAATTTAAAATAAAATTAGAGCAAAACTATAACAAATTATTGTAAAATACACTTTCATAACAAATATTGTTAACAATATCAGCGCATAATTAGTGAAATCATTGATAATATTCATTTCTTTATTTTTTTCCTGATTTTTTTTTCTTTGTTGAAGCAAATTAATTCCAACATTTAAAGTATCTGTTTGCTAAATTTGAAATATTTGTTTTCTGTTGAATTAATGCACTTTTTTTTACCGCTAATAAATGACTTTTTAAGAAGACTTTATTTGCCGTAAACTTTTTCAAAACTTCAAAATTGCTCAAAAAAAAGATATATCAAAGAAACAATTCAAATATCTATTCTTTAATTTATATTCTAACCTTATTTAATCATAATTTTATGTTAAAAACAAATAAGTGCTATAGAAAACATTTAAAATACCACTTAAAAAGAACTTAAATTATTTAAAGCAAATAATACAATAACCAAATATAATTTCATGAAAAAAAAAAAAGTAGGTAATATACCAGAAGTTGTAGATGTTTGATCTTTTCCTCCAACTATTCCTTGACTGCTTCCCGTAGATGATATTTCGGCTGATGCACGGCTATCATTTTCTGTATTCTAGAAAATTTTGAACATAATATAAAATTTGTTTATTTCATTTAAAAATTTTCACTAATATGTGTATATTTATATTTATTTACTTATTTATTTAAGAAGCGCACATACAGAATAATAGAACAGTGATAACATTATTTATTATTTAATTATACCTTTATACTGAATTATATATAATTTGAAATACAATTATACAAATTAATACAATTTATCATGATCAATTCAATTGCTAATTAAACTAGGACAAAGAAAAAATAAATTAAATATTTTGAATTTAAATGTCTAAATATTTAGATTAATTAAATATTATGAAAATGAAAAAGATTCTCATAAATGTTAATTTATCATCAAATTCTATTTTATACAAAATAACAGATAAAGCATAAAAAAAAAAAACAGTATAATGATAAGATTATAGGATGATTTTCTACAAAAGACAATAGCTAATTGCCTATGCTACAAATAATCTGGTTGTCGATCATTGATAAAGGAAACTCTGAATCTTGTCGTACTTTTAGCTTCGCTACCACTGACATACTGAAGGTTTTATTTTAACAAACTAATCTGATGTATCTAATTGATTTTTCTTAATTACTCTATTGTAATTTTTTTTTTTTTCAAAATTTTTTTTCGTCATTTATTTTATTTACATTTTCTTTTTTTGCAGAAACAAAAAAGTCATACAAAATTTTCTATCTCATGCAGTATGTATAATTTGCAATTTAAAATAGCTTTGAAATATTATAATGTTAAATCAAAACAAAAAAAAAGAGTTAAATGAAATTTACCTGTTTATTTTTTAAAATACCACGTGTTGGCAATTTGTTGTGATCTGGTTCATGCGGTGTTGATCCTCGAATAGATGATGTATCGTGAAAATTAACATAACTATATTCACCCTTATCACCAGTATTTAAGTCAGATGTTGTTGTCATGAAATTTCGAAAACCTATAAAAAAAAAAAAAAAAAAAAAAAAAAAAAAAATGTAACAACAAATTTGTCTATTTTTTGTAAATAATAATTTATTAAATAAAATAAGTGATAGAAAAGAAAAAGTAATAAATTATATTATATTAATTTCAATTATAAAAAAAAAAAAAAAAATTCAGTCGTTCTTGACTTCATATAACTAATTTTTGTATAAAATTTTTCTGAAAAAAAAAAAATAATAAAACAAACCAAAATAATCAATGTCATCTTGACGTAATGCACTTCTTTCCATACTATTTGAACGACCATATATGCGACGTGTTGAATCACCGAGAACTGACGCAATATGACGTGTTACTGGTCGATAACGATGTGAACCAACTAAAATATTTCGATAAATGAAATTTAAATTAAAGCAATAAATTATATCAAGAAAGGAGAACTTTTTCAAGAGATAAATTTAAGAATTAATAAAAGCATTTAAATTAATTCATTATTTGTTATTCATTGTAAGTGTTAAAATATAATCATTATTTCTATCATTAATTTGAAATTTGATCGTTTTTTTTTTCAAACAAAAGAAAAAACTGCCTAATTTTTTAATTCAAAAAATTGAAGAAAGCATGAAGAGCGTTTTATTTCAGCTTATTAAAATCATAAAAATGATAAAAAGAATAAACTGAGAAAATAACCATTTGATGATTCATGATTTGTTTGATTTTGAATACTAGGCATTATTTCACTATTATGTGTAGCTGTAAAAAACAAAAAAAAAAATAAATTTTTTTTAAAAAAAAGATTTCAAAAAAAAAATGAAAAAAAGAAATAAAAGAATTTCTTCATTTATTTACTGATACATTAAAATATTTTAAGAAATTTTCATAAAAAAACAAATAAAATAACTTACTTCCACTATCAGTATCATAGGTGTTGTTTCGTCGATACAAATAATTTTCATCATATCGAGATTTATAATCAGTTGTATATGAAGAAATTGGATAATTACTACCTGCTGATGTGCCATTGTACCATGAAGAACCCGTCATACGATACGTTGATGAAGGATGTAAATTACTACGAAAAAAGAATTGTTGTTATTTTTTCCAATTGTATAATTAAATTATATAATTCTTTATGTTGATTAAATTACATTTATCAATGATAAATTAATTGCTAACTTGACTATGAAATAATCTAAATGATACAGAAAATAAGAGTAAAAATTCATTTATTAGGAATAATAAATGAATACTATTTAAAAAATGTTGAGCTAATTTTAGCATTAGCAAAATAATCCTAGTAGTAATAAATTATCAAACTCTAATAAATGATAATTGTATTAATCAAAATATCACTAAAAAATAAATTTTAGCTTAAAATTTCACTGATAACAAATTAAAGAAATGTAAACAAAATTACCTAACAACTGTATTTTTTTCAGCTTCACGTTCAGCTCTTGTCTGATACACATAAAATCTTTTTGGCTCTAATGCCCATGATTGAGGTATTGATGACTGCAAATAAATAAAAATTATATGAAAATATTTCATTCAAATATCATATCATATCACGTCAATCATATCATCTTATATATCGTATATCATAAGATATCATATCATATTACATCGCAAGAGTTTATTATTTTCATAAAACAATATTTATGATTAAAAGAAAGAAGAAAAATGCAAAACCTCATTATCATAACGATTAATATTAGATGAACCAGGTGTAGCAAATTTGCTTACATTAGTAGTAGTTCCAGCATATCTAAAAATTTTTAAAGTTTTAAAATAAAATTTAACAAATAAAGGTAATTTCTTTTTTTTCAGCTCAATAAATGAAATAATAGATTTTGCATTGTTTCATCCACATAGAATCTCAATTTTAATAATATAACCTAATCCAATACAAAATACTTTTTTTTTTTTTTAAATAAAAAATTTAATGAAATATTTAGGTAATATTAGAGAGAGTATGATGAATAAATTTACAAATCAGGTCGATCAGGTGAAAGGTCATGCGCTGATTTTGACTTTCGTTTATCATCTCGTGCTACATACAAATTATAATTTAATCCCTAAAAAATAAATTAATTAATCAAAAAAATATTTTTTGTATTATTTGCAAAAAAAATAAAAAAATATTATTTATATTATTTTCAAAGTGACTGAATATAATAATAATAATAATAATAATAATAATAATAATAATAATAATAATAATAATAATAATAATAATGAAGTAAAGTATAAAAATGAACAATATTAAGTGATACCGGTGAAGCTGTATCTTTTTCTGTTGTCTTTTTAAAATTCTCGTCATTATTATAACGTGTATTTTGTCCATAAATAGTTGAATTTGGATATCCTGAAATATTTATTTTAATAGAAAATTTTCTCCTGAAATTAGACATCCATTAAAGAATCTTTATTTCTCCTGAAATTAGGCATTCATTAAATCAAAAAAAAAAAATTCTTGCAAAAATTTTTGCTACACTTATATTTTTTTAAATTGATTTAGGCTAATATGCATTGGTCAAAATTTTTGCCATTTAATTCACTTAAAAAATAAAAAGGATCAGTTAGATATAGATCAATTGGATAATAAAGTACAATCAATAATTACTAAATCAGATCAAATGAATATACCTGATGTACGAGTCCATGATAATCCAACGGGATCATTATTTGTTACAGCCATTGTATGACCTGCAAAAAATTTTAATTTCAATAGTTAGTAAAATTAAAAAAAAAAGTTAAAATTTAATTTTATGCTTTTATCTCCTACAACCATAAAAATTCCATCAATAAATAAACACACAGTCAATAATAATTGCAAATAATTAAAATCTGAAATAATTTTTTTTCGAAAAGAAATATTTTATTATTATTTTTTAGTTTTGCTTAACTTGAAATTACCAGTAGTTAATCGGCTAGGCGTCATTTCGTCACGATGATCAGCAATGCTAAAACAATTTCAAATAGTTGAAAAAATTAGAAAAACATTTGTTTAAAAAAAAAAAAATATAAATTCCATTTTAGTCCAAACTTACCAGAAATAAAATATTTTAAAGTTTTCATTATATAAATCATCAAGTTATGGTTCAAGAGAAACAATGAAATTTTGATCATGGAAAATAGTTATCTACTGATAATTTTCAAATTAAGATCCTTCCTAAAATTATTTGCGATTAAATTAACTAAAATTACATTACAGAAACAATACAATTTCAAAACCTACATTCACAATTATTTTACTGCCAACTTTTTTAATTTTATTTGTTAAAAAAAAGACATTCATAACAACATTTAATTTATAACTTTTTCTTTTGTTCTTTTTTTCACTCTTTTCTTTCGATATGCATGTTAAGTTTATTACCTTTAATTTCAATTCAATAACATATTGACATGTATTACAAAAATTGAGCATAAATGCACTTTTGAAAGCACATTTTCTTATTTCTCAACCAAATTTAACCAATTAGTTGATTTGATTAATTAGCAACTCTAACACACTGCAAAATTTAATATTTTAAAATTAACAATTATTAAATATTTTGACAAAACTACAAACTGTTAAAGGAAAAAATAATAAAAAAAAAAAGCATTGTGTTAAGCTAATCTTACCTCTTCAAAACATTTTCGGAAACATCAATGGTACGATTTCGTCGTCGACGATCCCAATTATGACGTTGTAAAAATGAGATAGCTCCATCATTTGATGATGGCATAGCTAATGACCGATTACTAAAAGTTAGCATAAAAATCAAAAATTAAAAAAAAAAAAAGGGAAAAAAAAATTGACCGGAAAAATTTTTTTTTTTTTTCATTTGTTGCTTATCAATCTTTATCATATAAGCAATTGAATAGCACATTGCTGAAAACATTAACAAAAAAAAAAGAAACAAATAAATAAAAGGGGAAAATAATAAATTTTATTTGAGAAGCTGTAATAAGCATGTAAGTAGCAAAAATATTTTGTGTATTAAAAATCAATTAATAATTGAAATGAATGAATTTGTTGAATGCATGCTCAATATGATTAAACAGTAACAATAAGAAATTAAATGAAACAAAAAAAAAAAAAAAGAAATCATTTCAATTTTACAAATGAGAAAAAAAAATTTTTAATTGAAAGATAAGCGAAAGAAACAAACCCTAATTTAATTGGTTTACTTGTTTTTTTTGTCGTTGATAGTACATCCTTTCTAATACATTCATCCTTAACTTTCAATTTCGTTTTAATAATCATTTAAAAAAATAAAAAAAAAAAAAAAATAGATTTCCTATTAAAAACAAGAAACACCAAAATTGATCAGTTAGAAATTTTTGTAATTTCATAAAATTATTTCCATGTTACATTTCAATTTCATTTTTTTTTTATAGTCTTAAATTAGTGGAATTTCATTTTCCTTTTAATAATTATTACCTGCAAATTTTTTTTTTTTACTGCTGTTCTTTTAATATTAAATGCTTCAACAATACCTGATATTTTGCATCGTTTGTTACAATATTTGCTTCCAAATTGATTGCTTGTGGTTTTCGTTTTTCAGTTTCAACTATACAAAAGAAAAACAATAATTTTTAGCAATATTTCAAACTATAAAAATTGTAGCAAATAATTAAATGTTATTAAATGCAAAGAAATTATAAATTTTAACATTTGAAATTATCTTACAAAAATTTTAAATTAATTTTTTTTTTTTTCTAAAATGATATTCATATACATACCTGATTGTTTATTTGATAACACTTTGTTTGCCTCACTTTCTTCACTACTTTCTTCTTCATCACTTTCCTCATTTTCATCCTCTTCATTTTCCTCATCTTCATCACTTTCTGATTCAGAAGCTTCATTATCCAATTTAATTACATTTGGTGGTGACCTTGGTGGTACCGAACAAACTCTACTGCAAATTTATCAACATTATTATCATTTATCATTGTTATTATTATTATATTAGCATTGCTACCTACTACTGTTATTAAATTATTCATAAACTTTTATCACTTAAATAAATTTCAAAAGCAAACAAGAAAAAAAGAAAGAAAAAAGGGTAAATTAACAAATTAAATATTACCTTGCAACTTCAGCTGATGCTTCAGTGCTTGTAACCATAACATCTGGATCCTGTGTTCGTAGCCAATTTTTGACAATTTTTTTGCCAAGCCTACCCGGAATATCATCGCCGCTATCATCAATCGGTTTTGGATATGTCATAATATATTTCTTTGCCTATAAAAATACAATTATTTTTATTCTTTATTATTTCTTTTCTTTTTATTTAAAAATTTGATGAATGAAATATATTACTTATTAATATTATTCATTCATAAAATAATAAATGAAAAAATTAATATAAATAAATTAAAATTATAAAGACAACTTAAAATAAAAAAGGAAAAAAGCACTGTATTAATAATCAGAGAGAGGATCTTAAATCTTGAGTTATTTAAGGAAAAAAATAAATAGAATATTTGCTATGCACTTTTATTAGAATGTTTAAAATATTTAGCAATTTTCATATATAATATATTCAAAATTTAATAAAATATATATAGAAAATCTGACCAATAAAATAAGAAAAACTTTTTTTTTTTTTTAAAAAAAAAAAGAAAAAAGAAAAGATAAAAGAATGGAAAAAAAAAGTGCCTTATCAAAGAGGAATAAGGAACGTTCGACGGTTGGTTGGGGTCCACCGATACGTCGATGTGGTAAGGTTGGACTTTCACATTCCGTTGATACACCACGACCGTATAACTCTACTTTATTATGCTACAATCCAAATAATTTTCTTTATTTAAATAATTTGATTTAAAAAGAAAAAAAATCTATATTTTCTCATTTCTTTTATCTTAGTCTTTTTTTTTCTTTTTGCTTCTTTCAATCTTTTAAACTCTTATCAAAATTACCAATACTTTTTATAAATGAATAATAATTTAATTAATGGTTAAATTTATTTAATTTAACATTAGTAATATTTCAATGTCTTCCTTTTTTTTGTTTTTTTTTGTCTAAAAAAATAAAATGAAATAAAAATTTAATTTTATAAACCTGATATTTTCCTTTACTTTGTCGTTTTGCTAAGCCTCGATCGAATGCATCAACAAACTGTGGTGCAACATTTTTCATATGTGGATCTGGTGGTGGATTATGCTCACCTGAATCACCAAGATTTTCCTCTGATATAGCTGTACGATATGAACCATTTCCTTCATCTTCAATCTTAAAATAATTAAAATAAATTCATATTTCAAATAATAAATATTATTTAAGTAAATTACAAAAAATATCAATTATTAAATGTATTTGCCACCTATTTTACTAGAGACTATTGATAATTTGAAAGATGCTTGACAAATAATTTTAATCAATTAATAATCATTTTGAATTTACCTAAAATTTTCATCATTTTCTTTCTTTCTTCTTGCACTACAAGTCAGATAACTCAAATATAAATTAATTACAAATGAAATAAAAAAAATCTTGACTGTAACTGAAGAATTAATAAAAATAATTGCATATTTTATAATATTTTAATATGATAATTATGATATTTTAATATGATAAGCTTTGCTTTCATCTAATCAAACTACCTGTTCCACTTCTTTACCAAGTTCATCAATTTCACTATCACTTTCTTCAACCTCTTCATCATCTTCATCACTGCATTCATCATTTTCCTTCAATGCTTCATCACGATCACGTGAATTTGCATTAGATTGATTTCTATCATTATCAAGAATAATTTCTCCATCACTTTCATCTTCAAATGAGGTATCCTGAAATAATTTGATAAGTCAAAAATCATTATTTTTAACTTATCAATTATAAACATTTAATAAATTAATTTCGCTAAAACTCATCATGTTTACTTTTAAAATTATCGAAAAAAAATTCTTTTTTTTTTTTCATTGTTATCAAAATAAAATGAATCAAATATTAAAAAACAAAACATTAAAAAAAAAAAAAAAAAAAAAAAAACAAAATAAAAAACCTGAACACTTTCTTCTGTAAGTTCATCATTATGAGAGAATGATTGTGGTGTTCCTACATTATGCTCCACATCTTCATCCGGATCAAAACCAACCTTAAAATATAAATATAATACTAAATTTTGCAATAAAAATTTAATTAGAAACAAAAAAAAAAAAAAAAAAAAAAAAAAAAAAAACAGTAGCAATAATGAAATTCATTTCATTATATAGAAATGATTAATTAATATTACCAGCGTAAGGAAATTATATAAAAGTTTTAATGGTTTCATAATTAATTATTCGTAATTAAATGAAGAACCTGAAAAAAAAAAGGAAAAAATATATCAATGTATAGATATTATAAAATTAGTGAAATATTTCTTTCTTTTTTTTTTTCTTTGCTTATTAATTATAATTTTAAAATAATTACTTCTACACTATGCCATGGTCTTTCACCAAAATTTTTCATTTGTCCATTACGTTGTGCTATACCATTTGATTGATATTTTCCGGTTATCCGTTTCTCATCCATTTTTACCGGTGATGTAGTTGTACCTATATCATATGTTTTACTACTTCGTCTTCCCGTTATTCCTACCATTCCACCACCAATTGATGTTGTTGTTCCTCCAACTGTTTGTCGTTTAATTAATTCCTTTAATTAAATTAAATTTATTTTCATAATTTAATTATTACATAAATCATTGAAATAATTATAATAATTAGTATATAACAATTAGTAATCTAATGAATGGAATATTTTTTTTTTTTTGTCCTTTTTATTTCTTATTATCTTAACACTAAAACTGTGTAAAAAAAAAAAAAAAAAAAAATTGTATGTTATTCTATTCTTCTCAAATTTTTTCAGATTTTTTCTTTTTCATCTTTTTTTTTTTTTTTTTTTTGTTTTAAGACCTGAGATTGTTGTTGGATTAATTTCGAAGCTTGCTTTTGCACAGATGGCGGTTGTGCTGCAATAATTGATTCCAATAATTCTTTTACCATAGGTCGTGAATCATAAAATGGATGAGCTTTGATACGTGCAACTAATGTCATACTAACCGGTCCTTTCTCCATTTGTTCTAATACCTATAAAACAAAATAAATTCAGTTATTTTCAATGAATTTATAAAATTCATTCGAATTAGCACAACTACGAAATGATAAAAATTAAATAATTACATTGTGTTATTTTAATAAATAAGATAATTTGATAAGTATTAAAAACCGCAATTGTCTATTGGATTTGTTTATTTCGAGAAATAAACATGTATGATAACTATAACAATTCATATAAATAATATTTTACAATAAAATAACACAACATTCTCAGATAATTTGAATAGCTGAAGAAAATTTTCTCAAAGCTATTTCTTCCACTATAATTTAATTAATATAACTTTATCAATTAAAAAAAAAAAAAAAAGGAAAGAAACCTACCTGATTCATAAGCATATTCAATGAATCCATCTCTAATCTCCATGTTTCAGCTGATGGTTTCCTAGATGCTTTAGCAGCTGCAATTACACTTTCAGAATTCAATGGAACAAATGAAGGTTTAGAAGTTTCATTGTTTGCACCGGTTGATATCACACTGAAAATTTGATAGCATAAAAATTAGTCCATTTAAAATTTAAAATAAAAATCATTTGTAATCATTTAATTTAAAATAAATTTAGGCATTCATGAAAACATTCAAAATCAGCTAATGTTTAAATTCTTTTTTTTTTTTTTTTTTTTTTTTTAAATTTGCTACGAAAAAAAAGACGAATAAACACAAATTTTTTGACGCGTAATTCTAGCAATTTTAGAAGCAAACTGAAGAATGTTTTTTATATGTTATTGGAAAATAATAATGTTATCTTTCAAATTGATAAAATAGATAATGACAATCATTATTTCATACCTAATTTTAGAATTTGAAGTAACCGGATCATCAGGTTGTTCCGGACTCAATCTTTCATTTTTGATTATCATTCTGCTACTGCTATTGTCACATCCGCTAACAGTTCCCAATGATGGCTGCTTGAATCGACGAATTTCTTTATTTGCCTGATTCTATTAAAAAAAGTGCAAAATATTGAAAGGAAAAAAAAAAAGAAACAAATAATTGAATTTTATTATCTTCATAAAAAAATGATTTTTTTTTCAAATTCAAGAATGAATAAGAAAAAAAATCAAATTATTTACTATAAATTCTCACTGAATTAGAAATATTTGTTAATTTGTTATCCGTAATATGTGCCTGATTATCTTTGCTTTGTAATCTTGATTCCAATCTTTTAAGTCTTTCCAATGGTTCATAATATGCATCCGGTTCATCCACTGATACTCGTTCTTGTTCTTTTTCCTTATTTAATCGCTAAAATTCATAAGAGAAAAAATACTTTAAAATTAAAACAAAGCAAAAAAAAATTATTTAAAAAAATTTCATAAACATACAGGATCATAACGTAAACTTTTTTCTGCAGCTGTAAGTGTTGGCATTTCGGTGCCATCTGTTCGTCGTGCTTTTGGTGGTTTTATTGGTGAATTTTCAATATATTCTTCAGCTTCTTTACGTCGTCTTCGAAATTCCTCAATTTTAAGTCTGCAAAAATATTTGAAAATAATTTACAATTGTATATATTAGAATGCAATCGTTATAATAATGGATCTAAAAAAATATTTAAATTAGATAAAGTAAAAAAAAAAAAAAAGGAGAGAACCTAGTTGAAGGACTTAAATGTCCAAAATCCATGAATACATCAGCTTCGTCGGCTAAATCTTGCACAACCATCGTTTCTGCCCGATCTGTTAATGGTGTATGATCGATAATCTAAAATTTAAATTTGTAATTTTATGTAATACCTTTTTTTTTTTTTTCACCAATCACTATAAGCATTATATGGAATATAAAATGTGTTATTTATGATTTTTGTTAATTACAAAATTAAACGGTTTAAAACCTGATTTTCTGGAAGTTCTTGAATTACAGGCATATTTTCATCCAAATTTAGCCACCAATGACTAGCAATTTCATCAATATCTGCTCGCCTTTCTGGATTCACCCGCAACATATTTCTAATTAACATTGAGGCAGCTAGAAATAAAAAATAATTTAAACCTTATAATATTATTTGCTAATTCGTTTATAAAAAATAAATTATTGGAGAAAACAAAAAAAACATCAAACAAGGACAGTAATTAGTGTAAACAAACTTGATGGTGTATCAGGCTCAAAATATGCGCCACGCTTAATTTGTCTAACCATTCGATTGAAATCACGACCATCAAATGGCATTGACCCGTAAACAAGTGTATAGAGAAGAATTCCTAAACTCCAACAATCCACCTATAATTTTATCCTCTTAACTTATCATAATTAGCATACATGAATTTTTGAAATTTCACAATCTTTCAACAATTTCTTTTTCAAATTTTACACTGATGAAAAAATTTTTTTAGACTACAAGATACTTCTCCACTTAATAAATGAAAATAAAACATACATATCATTATAATGTTAATGAAGTAAAAGACATAAATATCAAAAAAAGAAAAGAGAAAAAATATATTTTTAAGAAAAATTTAAATTTACACTTACAGTGAGAATAAATGGATAAATTAAGTTTGGATTAAATACATGAACAAATAAAGTTTCATTTAAATTAAAAAAACAAAACAAAACGAAAAGCAAGCAAAATATGCAAACCTCTGGGCCTCTATACGGTGTACCATTAATGATTTCAGGAGAAGCATAAAGTGGACTGCCACAAAATGTATTCAAGAGTGTTTTGTCGGAAAAATAATTGGACAATCCAAAATCGGCAATTTTTGCATTATTATCCGCATCCAATAAGATATTTTCCAACTTCAAATCTCTATGTGCCACTTTATGCTATAATTTAATAAAATTATAATTTTTTTTTAAAAAAAAAGAAAAAAATAGCAGCAAATTCTTTGGAATATTTTAGTGCCAAAAACTATATAATTTATATTTTAATTTATGCTTAAAAAAGTGTTACCTTATGACAGTAAAGAATAGCAGACGTGATTTGACGAAAAATACGGCGAGCTTCCGGTTCCGGAAGAGATCCAAATGTGCTCACGTAATCGTACAATTCTCCACCACTTGCATACTCCATAACGAGTATTATTTTATCCCTATTTTCAAATACTGAAATTTATTTATTTTTTCTATTAATTTGATTATATATTAATTTACTTTGAACTTGCAATAATTTAAAGTTAAATATTTAAGGAAAGAAAGAGCCTAAAATTAAGCATTTAAAAAATGCTGAACATTTTTCCCTTTCTTTTTTAATTTTTTTTTTTTTAAATTTTCGACAAAAAAAAAAAAAATTATTTTGACAAAAGAAAAAAAGAAACCTTCGAAAATTTGTATGATATTAGGATGATTCAATGCAGACATTATTCTTATTTCTCGTCGAATTCTTACCAGATCTTGCTTATTTTCAATGGCACTCTTTTTAATAAGCTTTACAGCTACCTGAAATTTCTCAAATTTTCAAAAAAAAAAAACAAACAAACAAACGAAAATTACAAATTTAAATTTTGATAAACTAGAAATAAAATTAGAGGTATGGAACAGAAAGAAAAAGAGAGAGAGAGAGAAAAAAAAACCTCTCGTTCAGTTTTGTGATCATAAGCAAGTGATACTTTACCATAGGTACCGGACCCAAGTTTTTTGGTAATTTCAAAACGATGCTTTATTTCGCTTTTTGATCCTCCCGGTAAACCACATAATGGTTGACCTCCTGCAAATAATAAAATAAACAGTCGTCTCAACATTTTTATTATCATTTATTATTATTATCATTATTAATAATAATAGTGGTATTAGTATTAGTACTAATACTAATATTATTATTAGCATTGTTTTAAGGAGGAAAAATTTAAAAAAGGAAAAGAAAAATGCCAAAAAATTATTGAGATTACAACAAATGGAACCGATATATGTGGTTTTTCCTGTTTTTTGCTTAGCTAATTATGATTATTAAAATGTATTAAAATTATTACCATTAAAATGTCGTAATTCTTATGAAGAAAAAAGGTAAATAAATGAACGTTACTAAAGTTATACCTGTATTTATTACTGATAGAAATTAGAACATTCAAACTTTAAAATTTGAAATGAAAAAAGAAAAAACAAATAATCAAAATTATGCAATTGAAAACGAAATACATTCTTTTTTTTTTTTTTTTTTTTCATATTTTCTTCAGCGAATTAGTTCTCTTTTCTACAAAATCATGAAATCCTTTAAAATATATATATATATATATATATATATATAGGTTAATTTAATATCAAAGAGAGAGAGAGAGAGAAAAAAAAAAAGGGAAAAAGATTAGTAATTTAAATCTATTGAAGTTAATTAAATAATATTTATTATCAACCATATTTATCTATTAGCTCTTTATTTCTTCCAAATTCATTGTAACATCATATATCAATTTTTTTTATTTCAATTCTAATTAAATTAGTTATAAACTAATATTTTACGAGAAAAAAAAGAAAAAAAATTAAAAATTACCAAGCATAGAATTTCCGCCCATAATGCCACTACCATATTGATTAGAACGAATTTTACTTGTACTATATTTTGCATTTTTTGTACTACGACTGCTATTACGTGATCCAATGTTACCTGTACCAATCGTCATACCGCCTTGTTACCAATGCGGTTATTCGTCTGTAAAATTAGAAAAAAAAAAAAGATTTAAAATTTATTTAAAAAAAAAAAAAAGATTGAAAATTTGGAAAGAAAAGAGAAAGAAAGGAAGTAACAATAAAGACTATTATTCATGCAATTATTACATAACATTAAATTTTTATAAGAGAGAGAGAGAGAGAGAGAGAGTATCAAGAAAATTGTAATTAACGCAATTATTACATAACATTTAAGTTTATATGTGTAATTTTTAACAAATAATAATGTAATTATGTATTATTATTGCTTTCTTTTTTCTTTTCGTTTTTTTTTTTGTCAATAATCTAAACAATAAAAAAAAAAAACGTTAATTAAATGAAAGATGATATAATTATATGAATTAAACAAGTTTGAACAGTTAAAAATTTTAACCTTTTTTTTTTGATTTTTCTTTTTTTTTTTTTTAACCAGGTATGTTTTATACTATATCATAAAAAATCACTTTGTACTAATCAAATTTATTATGCAATAACATTTAAATGAAATGATAGGAAAGCAGAAAATTAGATGAAATATATTTTAAAAGAAAAGTGAGAAAAAGATAAATGAAAAAAATTAATTAGCGGTAATATAATGCAAAAATAACAAAAAAAAAAAAAAAAAAAACAACAAAAATAGAACTAAAATAAAATAAAGGGAATTTTATAGGTTTGTAATAAAATGATGGATAAAAAATATATGAATTATTTGCAAAATTCAAAATTTAGATTGTTTGCAAAAATCCTACGATTATTTAAAAATTTAATGAAACATTCACAAAATTATATTATGTGAAAAATTCAATTTGTTCGTATCTTGTGATTATTTTGAAAAATGCAATTTATTTACAAATCCTAATATTTATTGATTTTAGCAACATCAATGATGAAAAAGAAAAAATATTAAAATAAACATGAAATTGGATAAATTAAATGGGGAAAAATCGGAGAAGAGAAGAAGAAAGAAGAAAATTTCCTCCTCTCATTTTTGCTTCCCACCTATTCTTCTTATTATTAAATAACAAAAAAAGGAAAAAAAAAGAGAGAGAGAGAGAGAAAAGATTACAAAATTATATAACAGAATGGAAAACGAACTTAAAATGATGCTCAATTGCCTAAAGGAATGATAAAAGATAAAAATGATTTAAAATGCAAAGTGTTGTAATCCAGATGTTCAGCAAAATATTTTTCATTTATTGATCTTGATGCAAAAAAAAAAAAGAAAAAAAGTGATCAAATTCAAATAATTAACCAAATAAATAAATAAACAAACAAACAAATAAATAATGATTTAAGCAGCGTAACAAATTTAAAATGAAATTAGCAAAAGTAGTAACCGAAGAAAAAATTTGAATAAAAGGTTTAATCCAAGTAATTTGCATATAAATTTTCATTTCAACGTTAATGTATACGATATGTAGTTGCATACATATATGCAAATGAGAATATAATTATTAAAAAAAAAAAAAAAAAAAAAATGCAATTTAGAAACATAAATAAAATGAAATTTACAAGACGAAAACATATATCATTGAAGATAACATATCAATACATATATAACTTAACTTTATTCCAACTTAGCACACACACATAAATATGCAAATATTCTTACATACATAAATACGGAAGGGAACATGCGTACACAATAAGTAGCGTACATATATGCAAATGAGGATGCAATTTAGAGATTTAAATGAAATGAAATTTATAATCTGAAAATATATCTTTGAAAATAACATGTCAATAGATACATAACTTGACGCGTACAGACATACACACACACACATAGATAAATACAGGAACATGCGTACACAATAAGTAGTACTAATAATAATGATAATGAAATGGATAGCTGAAACAGCCGTTAGAGCATTTGGTGCAAGCCTGAATCATATGATTTATGTTTATTTCATCCTAGAGCATAGCTTAAGATCATCAATAAGTGTGAGAGGAAGAAATGAAGAGGAATAGATGAAAAAGTATGAGAAAAGGAGAAGAAGAAAAAGAGGAAGTTAAAACTGATTTAAATTTTTCAAAAATTAGGAACAGTTTCTTTTTTTCTTTTTTTTTCTGTGTGCTTTTTGCTTTTTTTCTTCCGGAAACAAAGAAAAAAAGAAATAGGAAAATGAGAGAAAAAAAAAACAATGAACAAAAAATTAATCAATAAATTTAATGTTGATCTAAATTTTAATAAATTTCTTTTTTTGTGTTATTTATATGTTCTTTCTTTCTTTTTTTTTTTTTTTTTTGAATGAATTAACTAAAGTTGTAAATTTTTTCCCTTTTTTTTTTTTTTTTTTTTAAAGAAATGGTTGCTTTTTAATAAAATTCAAAAAGAAAAAAAAAAGAAAGAAAGTAGTGTTAAAATGTTTATGAATGGTTAAAAAAAGACAAAGAATTATTAGCTTTGCAAGTTCATTTCCAATATATTATAATCATTTTCATTCATTTCATTGCTGAATGCCATTTATTAGATTAGTTATATTAATCAAAAAGGTTTGGTTAGCAACAAACATCCATTAAATTCTCTTAATCAAAAACCTAATTATATTTTAATTATACAATATATATTTTTACTAATATCTAAATTTGCTTACTTCAGCTGTATTGTTTATAATGTAACTCATATAAGGAAAAAAGAATTGCTTAATTTTTAAGAAATGATCATCGAACAGTGCTCTTGAAGAATTAAAAATCATTCATAATCATTTACCAAATATAATTAAATACAAATGAAATTTAACTACAAATAAAATATATAAATAATAAAGAAATTTATCAAATGTAATTAAAATTATTTGACGACATAATGAGAAAAATACGCGAAAGAAAAATTATTGTTATTTAAATAAAATCAGCAAAAATTAATATTTAGTAAGAAGAAAAATAAATAAATAATTGAAAGATATCAGTGTTTAAAATGATAAAAATTTTCTTTTCCGCGCTTTGTTTTTCTCTGTTTTTCCTCTTACTAATTATTCAAATAGAAAAATGAAAATGATGAAAAATAAAATTTGAAAATTACTTCAATGATCTGATTAAATAATAAATTTTATAAGTGCTCAACAATCACAGTTTTTTTTTTTTTTTGCTTTACAATTTTGCTAACGTAATCATAAAATGGAACGAAAATAGAAAAAGAAAAACCAAATTTATCAGCTGATAAATTAATTTATTAAAAAAAAAAAAGAGACAAATAATGAATCCTGAAATAACATTTCTTATTTTCTATTAATTATTTTTATTTTTTAAATTTTCAGACCACAAAACATAGATAATAATAAAGTTAGCAATATATAAGAGTATTTTAGAATTAAAATCAAAGATAAATCATAAAAATTATAGTTGAAGATAAATCATAGAAGAATGAATTAATTTAAGCAAATTAAATAAATAAATTTAGATATAATTTGCTTAATTATATTATCATTCGAAAAAGCGTTATGTGTAAATAATTTGCAAGAAAATTTTAGCTAAAAAAAATTTAAAAAAAAAAAAAAGAAAATTTAAGTTTATGGTATTATTTGTTGTGTCTTTGAAAAAATAAAAAAATGATACAAAGAATTTTTTTTTCGTTTTTTTTTTATATTGACAAATTTCATGAGAAAATATCGGCTTTTTTATCCATATATACCGCCTTTATATATCCAATAAATTTCGCTCGATTTTTTTCAAAAATTTTTTTAGTGCTCTTTCTTTTTTTGAAAATTAAACATCTTATTTTGCAGATAATTAGAAATGAATTATAGAAGAATGAATTAATTTAATTGGGTAGACAAATTTAGATATGTCTTTCTTAATTATTTATCATTCGAAAAAAAAAAAAAAAAAACATTGTGTAAAAAATGAAAGAGAAAATTTTAAAGACCAATTAAAAAACTTTATGTAAAATTTAATATTATGAAGGAGCAAAGCTTGAAAAAATAAGCAATAAATTCTTAATTACCTATTAAAAACAATAATTTTAATATGTAAATGACTAATTCTTCACTTCATTTTTTTTTTTTTTAAAATAACTATTTTCTATAAAAATTTGAAATGGTTAATTAAATTGCAAAATTGTTATAGAATTAAAAATTTCAAATGATATCACAATAACTCATTGGAAAGCAATACATTTGTGAAGCTCATTTTGAAGCGATGAATCAACATCAATTATTGGCAGCTGCGCTCAAAAATAAAAAACAAAAACAAAAATACAAAACAAAAAAAAAAAAAAAAGAAAAGAAAACGGAGAAAAAAAAAACCTCCCAAATTGCTTATTCAAAAGAAAAAAGAAAAGAAAAAAAAAATAAAAGTTATCGTCATAAAAATGTGATTTTTCATGTTTAAGTGAAAGTTAGAATTTTATTTGTTTGAAAAATTTTTGAAATTTCCATCTTCAACATTAATTTTAATATCAAAAATGAAATAAAATAAAAATAAAAAAATAAAATCAAATATGATATGATAAAATGATTTGGAAATTAGCAGTGAATATTGAACTTTTTTTTGTTTATTTATTTCATTTTTTTCACTTTTTTTTTATAACTGTATAAATTATTTATCTTATCATATCCAATTCTGGTTTTCTTTTTCTGCTACGGTGATAACAGGAAGAAAAATAATTTAATTTTATGCTATGATGATAATAGGATAAGAAATGATTGATAATTTAATAATTGGTCAAAAATTAACAGTAAAAATACTTTAATTTACTCAATTTTTTGTTTGTTTTTGTTTTTTCTTCCTTCAAAATTGTTTAATTATGATCAAAGAATGTTGTACAATAATGGATTAGAAAAAATTGAAGACTGAATAATTGGTATAATAAAGTATTCATTAAGTAATTTCGAATAGTAATCTCTTTTTCTTTGTTGAAATGAGGCAGAGAGAAGGAGGAAACAATAATTATTGCAAATGATTTTTATTTTCCGGATTTAATACATATTATAATCCGGAAATATGATAATTATATGTGATAGGATATGTTAAG